ACTTGGCTGTTGATCTCTGTGAGCAGCTGCTGGATGGGTTCACTGCCAGTTAACTTGCCGAACAATTGTCTGTGCTGTTACTGTGGTTTTGCCTTGGCATCCAGGTGCTGTGCTGCAAAACACTCAATGCATACGATGGCAAGGTAGTTCTCATTGTACACCAGCAGACCATAGGGGATCGCTTTTCACTGTATAACATATTCTTCATACTTTTTGGGAACCATAAAATCAGATGATGCCCTTGTCTTTGATCCTGGTGAATCCTAATTGGAGGATGGTAACCCAGTCACACTGCAGACAATGACAGCACTGCCAGCAGTTACTGCCACCTCTACCTGTGCCCAAGTTTAGCCACAAGGGCCTCTGGGGAGGAGAGCTGCCCCGTGCAGTCAGGGCGGATGTGGTCATGTTTCATGGGAGACCAGAAGAAAATAGGACAGAAATCTGAGCTGGGTCAGGGTGCCCTTGTGATGACGTGTACCTACCTATGTCCTCTCCCAGGTAGTGACACCAGTGAGTGCTCATGGAACAGGTGAGAAAGATGTGGAGTTTGCCACACCAGCCTATGGTACTCAGCAATTCATGCCTAATATGCAGAGGAATGTCCTTTCTCAGCAACACTTAAAGTTTGGTTTCTAAAACAGACATTCAGGAAAAGATCTATTGAGGTAAGGTTCTGGTCTTGTGGCACAGGACCTGAAAGTGCCTGCAGAAGCTTTTAAGTGTTTTTCTTCATGTCAGAGAGCACAGAGCAAAACTCATTTGAAGGCTTCCTGTTTCCCTGCTGAGTCCCAGCAAGCTCAGCTTGGATATTGGATATTTCCAGGACATGGTGTCAAGGGGCCTAGTAATTTCTGTATTTTGGAGATAAGATAGGAGGCTCAATTATTTCACCTGATCTGCAGTCAGTTTGTCAACACCATTGGAAATTTGATTAGCATGCAGCACTATTACCTTTATTCAAATGTATTTTCTTTTGCTTACCTTTATTGAAATTTCATTTTTCATTCTGCTACAATCCCTTTCCCAAGGCCAGGATTTGGATGGATGCTCTCTCAGACTACTGCTGATGAAATACGAGATCATAGAATCACAGAGGAGTTTGGTTTGGAAGAGATCTCAATGCCCACCCAGCCCCAAGCCACTGAATGACAGAAGGATGGAAAGGATTTGACTCTTTGTTCCTCTGCTCTCTGCATGCAGCCCAGGGCCACATTCACACCTGAGGCCCAGCGAACTGAGCTGCTGGGAGTGGATCTGCAGCTGCATCTGTAAGCCAAGCTCGGCTCCAGTAACCAGGAGAAGAGATCTGGCTTGCAGGTGCAAAGCTGGCATGAGATTATTGTCTGCACCCTTTTTCCCAGATTCTTTTTGCACTGTTAGGTGAGAAGCGAATAATAAAAAGTGCTTGAGAAAACACTTCCAGGACAAAAAGTCATGTCAAATTGGAGGTTTCTAAGCTGGCTGTTGCCATGGGCCTGAATAAAGACCACAGGTTTGAGGTTTATGTGCACAACAATGAACCAGAACAGCTGCTGAATTAACCATTGCCACTGGAAGCTGGAGGTCATAAGGAAAAAGGAAATAGGAGCTATGACTTAGGGAACAATGTGCTAGATCCTGTGCTGATATGGCTTCTTTTGACCAAGGCAGATGGGTTACACTTATTTTTGCCAAGCAAGGACCTGTGGATCTATGGGGAAGATGGCGATGGAGGTCTGAAGGCCATAGGCTGCAGTATGGAATAAAACACTGGAAAATGGAAAACATGCCAGTATGGGGAGGCAGAATTAGTACTATGGATGGGGCTGTGCCCAAGAGAGAAGTATGAACATATTGGGTAATCATGCGCTTCTGAGTCCTTGGGATCAAATCAGAATGAATGCTTACAGCTGGACTAATGAGTCATGTTTTTCTTGTATAGAAGTATGAAAGCTACTGCACCTCGAAACAGCATCAGAATGAGAATCCAACTGGACCTTGGTCAAAATCGAATGCATTGCTGTGAAGATCAGCTGTGCAATGTGTGCCCATTCTGTAACTGCTATTGTAATGAGTTAAGCATTTTTCAGAAGAAGTGCTCTCACGTTAAGGTGCCACATTTTGTTTTGCTTGGCTTTAGGTCTTGCAAGGTTGGTGACCCTACTCCTGTGTGTGGGTTTTGCAGACTGAGTGGAAGAATTACTTCAGCAAAGCTGGGTGTGCCTGTGAAAATAATGCACTGTAGCCCAACCAGAAAATCCAGGTCTACTAGAGAAAGTATTGCATGAGAATCATCATTCTTTCTTCTGCTAAATCAGAGCAGATGGCCACCACGTTCGCTTTTGTATTTAGTACTTACGTATTTTCCATAAGATTTATATGAATTTTACCTTTTCTTTCATCTGAAGCACATTCAAAAACGCTGTTGAGAGCTGCCTCAAAATGCAAGCATTCTTGCAAGCCCTGCCCTAGAACTACCATGAATTTAGTTATTTGCTAGAGTATTTTGGCAGGCTATGGGCCTTTGCTTCTTGCCATTGGAAGGCAGTTGAGTAGGACCATTTTTCCACTTGAAGGTGCCCACAAGGCCAGCCAAGCAGACAGGACAGCTTCAGTTTCAGGGAAAACAATCCTGCCTGTTCCACTGGTAAAACACAACGTGACCTTTCCCAGCCTCCTCTGCAAAGCAATTGCATTTGTGCTGGTTCCTTGAGCAATTGCTTGAGAAAGGCTTCATAGAGGTTTCACATGCACAGCTGATGGCTGCAGCTGGATAAGGAGATTAGCAAGTGAGTTTGGCTTAGCGATAGCGACGTGTAAAACTGAAACAGGATACCATAGAAATATGATATAAGATAATTTCAGTTATCAGCTGTAAAGAATGTTCTGCTTACTTCTGATTGCTCATATCTTCTATTTTTATCGGCTTCCTCCTGCTAGTCTTTGTGTGTGTTTCCCGGTATAGCAGGTCTGACCCAACCAACTGCTAATAAAGATAACACTGATAACTATAAAGTGAGGTGGGGGAGCTCATTTCGAGCCTGTGCATTGGAGTTATCTTTGACAATGAATCATTTTCCACATGGAGTTCTTAGTACTAGGGATTTGATCTCCCATATCAGCACTAAGGATTTCTTACATGTACAACAAGTACCTAGTCATCTTAAAGCTGAGATTTGTCTATCTATATATACTGAAACAGGTTGCCCAGAGATGTGGATGCCCCATCCCTGGAAACTTTTAAGGTGAGGCACCACCTGATCTAGCATTGGTGTCCCTGTTCATTGCAGGGGAGTTGGACTAGATGACCTTTAAAGGTCCCTTCCAACTCTAAGTATTCTGTGATTCTATGATCCCATACAAATATATCCTCAGATTTATATTTATGTAACAGATGAACATGTTGCCATTCAGGCAAATGACTGCATGCTGCTGGAGAAGGGCAGCTGCATCCTGCTGCATGCTGCAGCTCACACCGTATATGGCTGGTGAAGGTCTTCTTTGGTAGGGGAACTACAGGTGACGTTCCTGTGACAGTTTTGCAAGCACAGCCAAAAGAGATGTGCTTGGGACTGGGAAGCTGCAGCAATCACAGCATTGACCACAGTCTAAGCAATGTAGCCAGCTTTCCAGGGCAGGCAGAAAAGGGAAGAAGAGGGAACGCCTTGGCCACCAATGGTCTCATAACCTAGTTACAACTGTCCTGGAGCTTCTTCCTTCTCAGGCATGAGGACTGATCTGTCCATCTCAGAGGTACAACATAGAATGTTGTCCACATTTATGCTGTACTGCAGTTATCCATATATCTTCTACATGTAACTTTTGTTGCACATAACTTCCAAGTTAGTCTGAAACTCCACAGAATTTTCCAAAATATATGCATATACATGCTATATTAATTCTTTGCCTTTGGTTAAGATTTTCTGTGTGTTAGCATCACATCACTGCTAACAAAGTAGGGCTTAAATTCAGAATGCCATTTTTATACAATTCCATATTTCAGAATGCCCTTTTGTGTATAATTCCTTTTATATAAAGCATAAACAGCTAGTGAGCAATACCTATGCCTGGAGGTACGCTCACTGGGCCAATGAGCGGAAAGGCTGCCAACTGGAATAAGCCATAGGTGATGAAGCCAGGGACTTAAGCTATTGTGGACTGGAGAAAAATAAACCTCTGAGAGCTCCCTTGCCTATTTTATGTCCCCTAAGCAACAAAATTTGAATTTGAGGCAACATTTGTGCAACATTTGCCTAATGACTTTAAGCTTCTTCCACCTCTCTGATTAAATAAGAAATTAAAAAAAAAAACAGAAAATATGATCACTGTTGTATTGGTAACAACGTGATAGGTTTTGTCTATGGCAAAGGTGATGAGCAAGTGAACTAATCACTCATCTGTAGGTACTTCTTGGCCAACCTGTGCTTTCATTGCATGAAGTCAGGGATGGACTCGGTGTCAGCCTTCCTGCATTAGTCAGTTGTAATGACAGAGGAAGTGGAAGCTATGTGGAAGTCCTGAAGGATGCTCTGCAATGGAGGCTGCAGCTGGCTCGCACTTCCCATCTCCAAAATCGTTAATACGTGATCCAGAAAGGGATTTTGGAGCCTTTTTCAAGAATACAGAGAGACCAGGCTGGCCCGACTTCTATCTCTCCTGTGATCAAAAGTATCCTTTCTAACCTTAAAAATCTGCATCAACAGAGCATCCTAGGATGCTCGTTTTGGCCTTGTGCAGAGCCAAAAGACCTTCCTCATTTGTTGTACTGAACCAGAGTCAAGCTGCCTGGTGAACTGCAAACCCTGCGAGTTTATTTGAGGTGAAGAATTTGTGCCTGACATTTTGTTGTTTCTCCTGATCTAGGTGTACTGGGACATATCCCAGCACCCAGGCCTGGCCCTCATTAATAGGATGTAGAAATGTGACGGGTGAGTGGGTGCCCATCAGGTAGAATCGGTGCTCTTTCTGCAAGCTTATGAAACAGCTCAGAAGAAAAACTTCTAAGGCCACAAGCAACATTTGTAATTAATATTTTATTGTTTTTCTTTCACAAGTGAAAAATGTATGGGAAGAAGGAAAAAGACTGAAAGGTAATGTGAAGGTCCACTGTGGGAGTCTACAAGTGACATAGAAAGGTGCTTTGTAGTCTGGTTACAGAGAAAAACATTATGACTAAGGTGTAGTGGTTCCTCACTTATTAAAATAAATACAATGGTAGAGATTAAAAAAAAAAAAAAAAGTGGAAGCTAAGTAATGCAGACAATGACCTTGTCACAAATAGCTACACTGGGCCTATTAAAATAAGGCCACCAGCAAATGACTCAGCCCAAAATACCTGAAAGCACCTGGAGTGGAAGGAGAGCTGCAGGAGGCAGACCTTTTGAAATGCTTAATGTTCAAAGGTTTTAATGTAATGAAGGCCATTTTTAATGCAGGTTTAAACATTTTCAGCAATGCTTTGTGGGTCTACACCTAGATAACCAACAAGCGAGAGCATTTGCATTCTCACAGAACGTGGGAAGTAGAAGCAGCATACAGACTGCATGGTAAGAACCCAAAAGAACAGTGCCCAAGTCAAGAAGTTCACAGTTATCCAAAGCCTGGCTTGGTCTACCTTCCTCTAGAGGAGACAAAGGCTGAGATAATTAAGCTGATAGATATATTCCAAACTGTTCAAGACACTTAAAACATTGCCCTCACCCTCAGCTTAATGGTAGGCACCATACAAATACATTTTAAAAAATACACAGTGTTATCAGTGTCCTAAGTTTAAGTATCATGGGAAGATAAACATGGCTGGAATGATACTTTAATGAAAGTACAGTGCTTTGCATCCCTGGCCTATCCAAATATTTGGTAGTGATCTGCTCCCACCCTGCCTTTGCCTTGCCTTTGAAGCAACTGCTCTGCATGACTTTTTTTCAAGCCTTTCCCATTTCTTCTCACTCTCTGGTAGCTAAAAATGAGATGTACATCTGTAGAGTAGAAAAAAAAACGTCCCCTCCTGCCCAGACCATTGCTTCTTTGATCCCATACAAGAAAACAGGATTTGACCTGGCTAGGTTGCTATTTTAAGCAAGGCAGTGTTCAGAGCAGCCATATTTCTGCCTGATAGCAGAGACAGCCAATATTTGCTGCTAGAGCAGCAGAGTTCAGCTGCTGCCTTCTCCCTGCAGTTTGGTGTACACAGTCCATGGAAGGAGGGCATATGGGGGCCACAGGCAGAAATACCTTGCTGACATGGTTCCTCACATGGGATAGTTCCAGAAATAAACAGCTGTGCTAAGGGGGCTGCTCTTGGGAGCTAGAGAAACAACTCATGGGCTACAAGTTAGGTACATAGATAAGCTGCTTTCATGACTAAATAGCAGAGATCTTGAGAAACCAATTTTCACAGTGTGGAAATTCACTTTGCAACCAAAGGCTAGCACCTAGGTCTTCTGCAATAATTAAAGGTGATTGAGACTCACAACACTGTGTGTTACTCAGTCCATGTACAAAGGTAGATATTGCTTCTGAGATCGACCTGGATCCACAAGAAGGAAAAACGTAAGTACTCTGCAAGTCTTATCTGTGGTACACAATGTGAATTAAGGACAGTCACTAAAAACGTTCCCTCCAAATTCTGCATTTTTTCACAGAAATGGTTTTCAGCAAAAATAAAGCAAATTCTTAAAAAAAAAAAAAATTCTATCTCAAAAAGCTACATGATTCTCAGAGAAACTACTCGTGCAACACTGTACAGTTTATATAATAATTATTCAAAAATACAAAGAAAATCTTTCTGCTACATTTTCTTGGAAGACAATGGTCTTACTCGAAAACAATTGCCTGAACAATACTTGGCTGTTAATAACTCTAGCTTATGCTTGATCCAGTTTGTTTTGAAGTATATTGACTACTGTAAGAATTCATGCTGGCAACATGAACAACTGCATTTCTCACCAGGTGAAGCTGATGAGTTGATGATACTCCTATTGGTGTGTCCCCTTCCCTGACTTTACAGAGACTGAAACAATGTGATCAGGCAACTTTGCAGCACCGGAGCCATCACAAACCCATCAGCTTCACTGTCATCTCTGTAATTCAATCTGTCCTAGGCCAGCACCGGGAGCTTGACAGGTGGGAAGGGAGCTAGCCTCTTTCATAGCAGATATTGCTTGGGTTGTCTCCATGCAAAGTTCAGTCCTTTCTCCCATTTGGCTAGGAAGACTTCTCCTCAGGAATGTGTATGCTTGGCTGCTCTACTGCCAGCTGGTTTTCAAAGACACAGCATAGCTTGTAATTTTCTATAAGCTTTGCTTGAAAATATTCCTGGTCTTTCTTGTGCCAAATGTCTGTTGCAATGTACGTGTTGTAGGGGTTGTGGGAGTCCTCCAGCCTCCTAGCACGGATATTGGTCACCATGACTCCCACTGTGAAGAACCCAAAGAGACCGACCATCATCAGCACGTAGATGATTTCCAGGCTGCCACCAGTGCTTCCAACTGTAGAGGGGGCAGTGCTATTTGTCTGCTCCAGGTGGTCTTGAAGCAGCTTGGAGAGGAGAATGCTCAGGGCTGTGTCATTAGACAGCACCAACATCTTTTTTCTTCGGTCCTTTGCACTTCTTTCTTGCTTGTTTCCCTAGAAAAGAAAAAAAGAAAAACAGGAACATGCCATTAGACAAAGATGTGATTCTCTCTGTCTGCCTTATGGTTCCCCCCAGCAAGGAAGCTGTCGCAGCACATGAAGAGAGTCAGGGCTTGAGAAAGTGCCTGAGAGGCTTGCTTACCTCCTCCTTCCAAGCAAAGCCAGTGAGGACGTGTCCATCCCTTGCAAATATTTGTCTGAAAAAGCCTCCATGATACCAAAAGTCCTCAGTCTCCACAAAGAGTCTATTGTGGTATTTTACTGCCCCAGCTGTTGGCCACTCACCCGGCACAGGCCTACGCTCCTGCTGCCTACAGCCTATGGCTTCTTCCCCAAGCCCCACAGGCACCAGGAGTGGCTCACTCCCATGCTGCAGCAGCTGCTTTTGGCTTAGAGGGTTGTTATCCTGGCTTCCCCTCTCTCCTATACCAGAACTGAATCTGGAAACAAAACTTCTGTACCTGATATACAGTGCAAATAATTTGGTACCTGCAGCAAGCATCGCACATCCACCTCTGTTGAAGAGCTTTATCTTCTGCAACCCTTGTATGGATATACCATGCAGAGACTGAACAACCCAACATCTGAGAGACATTTATCCCGAGCTTATTTAATGTAAATTCCCACTGGGCATTTGCCCACGGAGGGTGTTTACAGGGAGTATGCAGTAACTACCTACCAGGCAGTGGCTGCTACTGATGCGCAAGGAAGACCTTTTCCCTCTATCCTCCCTCTTATATGCAGACAGGCCTCCCCTAGGCAGTTCAGTGCTTTCTCCTCCAAACTAAATTGCTGTGCAACCTGTGTTTTATTGTCTGAGTAGGAGAACTTTCACTGGCATTGCTGCAGATCAGGAATGCATTAGGAGATGGCTCTACCAAGAAGCAGTGAACAACCAAAGCCTCCCAGTCACAGCCTTCTGTGCTGACAGCCCTCTACAAGAATGCCCCTCACTACAAGAAAGACACTGGGTCCCTGGAGCATGTCCAGAGAAAGGGAACGAAGCTGTGAAGGGTCTGGAGCACAAATGTCATAGGGAGTGGCTGAGGGAACTGGGGTTGTTCAGTTGAGACTCAGGGCAGACCTCATCACTCTCTACGACCACCTGAGCAGAGGTCATGGTGAGGTGGGGGTTGGCCTCTTCTGTCAGGTCATAGTGACATGATGAAAGGGAATGGCCTCAAGTTGCACCAGGGGAGGTTCAGGTTGGGTATTAGGAAAAATTTCATCTCAAGGCTGCCCAGGGAGGTGGTGGATTCAATGTCCCTGGAGGTCTCAGGAGCCATGTGGATGTGGCACTGAGGGACATGGGCAGTGGGCACGATGGGGATAGAGTGATGGTTGGACTAGGTGATCCCAGAGGTCTTTTGCAATCCTTAATGATTCTTTAATTCTAAGAAGTTGAAGGGTCCTTTTCCCTTTTTAATGTCAGCTGTGAATCTTTTAATAAGAACAACTCTATCACCACTGCAGTCCCAAAGCCTCAACAGCCAGATAACATGACTGACAATCTCATTACAATGCCTAATTTAAACAGCTCTGGAAAATTAAGACAACAGTTTCTCCCTGTTTTTGCTCTTAACATGTGTGAATCAAGGTACTGTTATTCAAGGTGACTTCTGTGACAGCAATCCTGTAATAATATAAGACAGCTGTCAGTGCTTTCTACAGTTTTAAATATGTGATAGCAGGTCAGCCTGTTAGCAAAAGCTTCTTCAGCATGAGTGTTCTGTTGTGGTTTTGTGCTTTTTTTTTTTTTATGTTTGTTTGTTTGTTTTGCTTTTGTTTTTTGTTCTTTGGTTGGTTTGCTTTATTTTGTTTGTAAGAGGTACTGTTATGTTCATTTATAATACATCAAGAATGAAATGAACCCTTGGGCACAAAGCCACCAAAAGACCCAGGCAGCAATTACATCTCTGCATGAGGGAAGCATTAATGATACATAGCTGTTGTGCAGGACCTCCATGCAACAGGGATGTAAGCTGTGCACACAGCCTCCAGCTGCTGGTAATAACACTGCAGTGGTTGTGAAGTGTCTGGAGGTTTCTCTGAATTGTCTGTGCCTTGTTACAGCGCAAATGGTGTAGAAGGAGATGTTGAGATAAAGGAAATGAGAAAAGAACACTTATCTTGTGACCTCCTATCCCACATGTGGAGAGCAGTAATTTACTCTGTTCTGTGGCAGCTAAATGAATTATGTCATCAATTTAGACATGAATATGATAAAAAATACTTGTAAAAATTAATTGCTAATGCAACCTACGCTGATTTTAGTACCAGATTTGTCCAAACTGTTTTACTAGATTTCCATGCTGTGCAGTCATGGATTTGAGGGCAGGTCTCATTGAAAGTCAGATGCTCAGCCCAGGATGATAACTGTCATGAAGAAAGTTTTGCTTTCCTCATCACACATTCCTGAGCAACTCAAATGGCTTCAGTCCACACCACTTGAACCCAGACTCCTACTCTTGGTGAGTGAGTGACCTTGGGGAGCTCAAGGGAGGCTTTTGAGGGCTCAGATTCACAGCATTCTGAGCACTTCCGGAGATGAGCTGCCTTTCCAGCAGGAAAAATGAGCACACATGGGAGCATGCCTTGGTATTTTGGTTTTAAATAGAGATGAGCCTGGGGGTGGCAGAGGGAGACAAAATCCCCTCTACAAACAATATTCTGATCCAACTCATTTCTTCAGTTGCATGAGTCAAAGCTACAGGAAATAACATCTTGGCAGCTTGAGCTCAATAGTTAAAATCTATTCACTTTTCACAGCTGTTTTCAGATCCTTTAATAAGGGAAGGAAGAGAAAAAGGAGATTAAACCTTTATCTGAGATTACTCCTCCTAAGTGCATAGAATGTGTCAACACTGTAAAATGTAAAACTGCTAATAAATCATTGCAATGACTTGTTGCCAGCCTGGCTCTATCTCCACAGCCACATCAGAATAACACGCCGAGGGAGGGAAGAGGCACACTCTGGTTCCCAAGAAAGACAGCTTCTCCTGAAACATCAGCAGGCCTAAAGGTCTCATCTACCATTTCACAAGCATTGTTCAACTCCGCTGAAATCCATTTAGAGCTGCAGTACACAGGACTGGGAAGAACTGTTTGTATCACTGTCTAGCCCATGACAGATGGAAGTCATAATGTCCTCAAAACCTTGTTCCCCAACTCTCTGCAGATGTCTGCTGACGGGCTGCAAATCATCATCACTGCTCCAGTCCCTTGTGGGGCTCCTCTGAAGAGCTCCACGTAAAATTGTGAACATCCCAAAATCTGTTGGCCATGGGTTGCAACCCCTGTAAGCACCTTACAGTTGCAGTGTGTGGCAGGTGGTTACACCTCCTATCCCCTCTATGTTTTGGGGGGCAGGCACTGAGCAGTATTAGTAGTTCTCTGCCTGGTGTTAAGAATGGCCTGGAGCAAACTTGTTAACAGTTCAGCAGCTCTCTCAATGGGCAGTGATTCAGAGGGAATTCCTTAAGGTTGATAACAGCCTGAGCTACATCCTGCTCTCAAGTGTGTTGCTGCTTCTCCACCCGTTAGGCAGGTCAAATGTGCCTCCCAAGCAAAAGTAGAGGTCTCAGTGCAAGTTTATTTTTAACACCGAAGTTTCCCAGCTGTGCAGATGTACTGCTGGCTTTGCTCAAGCTCATCTTTCATTGAATGTCAATGATGAACCTGAGCCACTGCCCCATTGGCTGTGATCCACAGCATCAAGAATTGAAATGAACAGGTTCTCAGGTGTAGCAGCATGCCTTCAATCTAACCTTAGTGCAGACAGGAGGATCCTAGGACAGTGTTTGCTTTCCTGTCTGATGACTGGAATTGCTTGGGATGCCTTCAGCCTGGCTGCTGTTCTAAGCAAAAGTTTCCCCAGGGAAGTATTTGCATAGGTGGGCTGCTACCTGTAGCCGGGGGCTTCCACAGTGGGGAAAAAACAATCCAAACCCAAGAACAGCTTAGAGCTGTGAAGTATTATAGCTGCAACATGCAAGCCTGTGAGTCTGTGTGATGCATGGTCTGAGTCTGCTTTGGGTCTGTGGCGAGGCCAAGCCAAACAGCTGGAAGAGCGTGCAGTGCCCAGCTGGGTGCTGAGGCAGTTGCATTCATCCTGCTGAGGAAGTAGGACTGTGACAGGGTATCTCTGCAGAGCTGCAAATTGACATTTGAGTTCAAGCAAAGCAATTAGCAACTGCAGAGCATCTGGCACTTAATATTACTTCTGTCTTCTTTATAAGCATCAGAACTGACTTATGTCTGGCTATTTCCCAAGAAAGGCAGAAGAGCATGGGTCTGTGCGTTGCTGCAGACTGCAGACTGCTCTCCCAACCTAGGTGCCTCTGCACAGAGATCAGAACCAGTTGGAGCAGCAGCCAAAGCCCTGCCTCTGCTCCACCTGGGGCTGTGCTGGGCTGGGTCCCAGCAGTGGAGCTTCAGTGGCCCCCCATAGAGTTCCAAAAAGTAAAGAGGCAATTTTCTGTGATGTACCTAGAGGATTCTCAGCTTTGGAGCCCAGTGGGGATTTTTCCTCCAATACAAGGTAGGCAAGTTGTTTTGCTTTGACTAGTGGTACCTCTCTTCCCTACTGAGTTAAAATGTGGTATCATGCAGGCAGAGGTGGATGTTAAAGGACAAATGCTTATCTCCCATTGCCATCTTCTCAGCTCTCCAAAATCAAACAACTGTATTTTAATTTATAACCAGCAAACATCACAGAATCACAGAATCACAGAATTGTAGGGGTTGGAAGGGACCTCCAGAGATCATCGAGTCCAACCCCCCTGCCAAAGCAGGTTCCCTACAGCAGGTCGCACAGGTAACACATCTCCAACAATCTCTCTTTCACATTGCTGCCAAGAGCATCAGTAATCAAGCAGCAGAAACCGAGACTTCAGAGGCATTTATACCTTCAGAAAATACACTGCAGCAGCAACTTCTCAGGAGCTGATGACACACAGAAAAGCCTATTGTACACTGGCAACAGAAGTTAGCACAGCACATTGCCCACCTCCCAGTTCTGTAAAGCGATTAAAGCTCCTCCAACATTAGAAGGTAATGGAACTCCTGACCTCATTTCTCTGCCTGTTCATTACAGGGATGGGTAGGTCAGACAACAGCTTTCTGGAAAGCAGAGCATTGCACAAGATAGACTCATTTGGTCCCTTCAGATCCTGGATATGTGTGCAACAGCACAGCATGATGCAAGGCTAGATGTGAGATGGTACAGTAGAGCAGCCCAGAAGCAAGTAGAGCTCTGGGGATGGATCTGCAGTCATGCACAAGCTGCATGCATCATCTGCAACCCCTAACAAATCTTAATTCTTTCCCCACCAACCCTCAGGCCACCCATCACTGCCCACTTCTACTCTAAAATACAACACTTGTACTGAGGGTACAACTACTTCTTCTCAAAAGCACCAGGTACATATCTAGTCCCCTTCCACACACCATATACATACCATACTATTTTGAAGTGAAAAACCCAGCAACCACCCCAAACAATATGCGGTGAAGTTTATCCTCCCAGATGCAGCTGCCTTGGGCTCATACCCAGTCTGACAGAGCAGACAAAAACTGTTGTGACTGCAACAGCAAACAAAAACTGTCTAGTGAAAGTCTTGCTCCCCCTTCTCCTTCATTAGTTCAGCCCTGCAATGTTTGCCATCACCCCTGCTTTCATCCCCAGCCCGGTACACACCTGGAAACAAACCTTGGCTGGAAGCAAGGCTCCAAGCCCTCCTGGAGGAATTGAAGGTGTGAGCCCAGGGAAGACCACGAACTGTCTGCAAGCAGAAGTTGGTTTCTGGCTCCTGCAGGCTCTTACTGTCCCTATTCCTGGGATCAGTGCAAAAGGTAAGAGGCAAACAGGAAAATATACTGGCTGGGGGAGGGCAGTAGCCTGTGGCAAGGGCCAGCCTCCTGCTGCAAGGTGTGGGCACTGGCCGTGGGTGCCAGGTAAGTGGGAGGTACTGGGGGCAATTGCAGGTGGGACCCAGCCCTGGTAGGTGCTGCTGTGGGGTGCTGGTGAGGCAGCATGAGGGGAAGCACTTTCAGGGTTTCTCCAATAAAATACCGACAGCTTGGTCCAGGGGACATTTGCTGACCTCCAGCCATCATCCCAAAAGAGCTGCTTTCCATGTGAGAAGAAATGTCTGCCATCACCCCTTAGCTAAAAGGAAGTCATTAAAGCACATCTGGAACCTCTAAAATGAATCTAATAGCTTTGCAGGGCAGCTGCATTTAAACACATGCAGACAGTGCTGGCAGTGTGTGATAATGAGCTCTGGAGTGCTGTGCAATCCCCCCCAGGCACACTCAACCAGGGACAGCAGCAGCTCCAGCTCCTCAGCTCTACTGTGCTGCTGCTGTCAGCGTGACAGCTGGAGAGAAGTGAGAGGGTGACTGAGGTATTAAAAGGAATGGGTGGAAGCAGTGTCTTAATATCTTCGCTTTCCTTTCAGGAGCTTTATTCTATGCTTTTGGTGCAGTGGGGGGTATAGTCCCCACTTTCTGAGCAGCCCAATGGAGCCATAGGTGTCCCTGCTCAATTCAGGGGAGTTGGACCAGATGACCTTTCAGGGTCTCTTCCAATTCAAACAGTTCTATGACTACGATTCGTTGCTCATAGCATTGCTGCGTCCCATTGAGGAGAGGATTGTTAAAAGGAGATTCTTGAAGGTTGGGCAGTGGCTAAGTAGGGAAGCAGTGCACTGCTTTGTGAACAAATTGGTCCAATCCTCCAGCAATGCAGAGGGATCAAAATAGGGTGCACCTAAGGGTGCTGTGTCTGCAGGTGGAGAACACAGGTCTTGCATGCTCCCTTCTCTGTTTCTGGGCAGTGTGAGCACACTGAAAGGTGCACTCTAAAACTGGAGATGGTCAAAAAGGAGGTGAGGGAAAGAGGAAGAGAAAAAGGAGGACACACATCAGCAGAGACAGCAGACAAGGAGCAGTCAAGTCCTGCTTCCTCTTTACAGGAGAAATTTGGGAGAAACTTAGATCACTTCCTCTTCCCATGGCTGAACAGTCAGGAACATGTTGGGAAAGAGGAATGCTGCTTGGTGTGGGCTGGCAGCTGTAACCTTTGTTTCAATAAGAGCTGCGTTGCCACAGACAAGACATGCAAGCCATTTTGAGCCAAGGTTCAGTGACAACTGAGCCTCAGCACTGTGTGCAGGCGTGGCACCACAGTACAAAAAGGACGTGAAACTATTAAAGTATCCAAAGGAGGGCTAGGAAAATGGTGAAGGGTCTGAGGGCAAGATGTGTGAGGAGCAGCTGAGGCCCCTCGCTGTGCTCAGCGCAGAGCAGAGGAGCTGAGGGGAGGCCTGATGGCGGCTGCAGCTCCTCACAGGGAACGGAGGGGCAGCGCTGAGCTCTGCTCTGTGTGACAGCGACAGGGAACGGCATGGAGCTGCGTCAGGGGAGGGCAGCTGGGGGTCAGGGAAAGGGGCTGCACCACAGGGCGGTGGGCGGGGAACGGGATGCACGGGGCTGTGGGCACGGCCACCAGTGCTGGAGCTCAAGGTGCGTTTGGACAGTGCTCTCAGGCACAGGTTTGATTTTGGGTGGTGCTGTGTGGAGCCTGGAGTTGGATTCGGTGATCCTTGTAAGTCCCTTCCAGTTCAGGATATTCTGTGGTTCTATGAAAGCAAGGATTGACTTTGAAAGCTCTTGAGTTCTGTGTGACATCTCACTTCCATGAAACCTCCACTACAGCTGGGTGGAATGCATTTTGTTACACAAGACCAAATCCATTTTATTTTCTTTAGAAACATCCACGTAACCTCTATTTGACTTTGGTGGGACCTGACAGGCTGATTATTTTTTTAATAGAACAAAGGTAATATACAAAAGCTAGGCTCAAAGCCACAGAAACTCTTTGCCCTTCCTGATCTGTCAATAGGCGCAAGTTTCATTTTGTTCACTGTAATGACGACGTGGAGTAACTGGATCCCTCAGAAAGTAAATGCATCACATCTCTTGAAGGTGGTAAAGGACGTTTCACAAGTATAGGAGTGTGCGGATTTCTTGAATGCATCTTTCTGATGGTGGTAGAGAAAAAATTTATATGGGTTCTTAGCATCATTTTTAGGAAAGAAATGGTGCAGCAGGTGTAGGAAGCAGAGAATACTGGTTGTTCTTTCAATGACTCCATGCTCTGTCTTAGAAAGGCTGCTACTGTGGCTTTCGCACATGAGGAGATAAAGTCTAATATCCAGGAGATCATTATCTTTGGCACTTTCCCATGCATATCACATTAATCCTTCAAAACCAGAGTTAACTACTGGAAAGTTGCACGAACTCTTAGTTGCAGAGTTTTACTGGGCTTGCTACCAAAGTCCTGAGCAGAAACAAAAGGCCACAGAAGTGACTCAGAAGGTGCTTTTTGTCTCCTTGGGTCCTGCATTGATCTGAGCTGGGCTCAGCTCATCTCTACTTCCTAACACCTGGCCAAGGGTTGGACAAATGGGACTTCGGTCCCATGCTCCATTCCAAGAAGGAATTCCCACCACATGGCATTGGTCTGGCCCTTTGGGACAATCTCTAATTCAACCCAAACTCTGTGGAAATGACTTTAGATGGGGGTCATCCAAGCCATCTTCCAAAGGCTGGGTTTTCAGGGAAGTCATAACATGGGTTTTCAAGCAAATAAAGCTTGAGTTAGAGAGCCAACTTTAAAAGTACCCAGAATGATGTGTAATATTTAGCAAACCTAATTAGTGACACTAATTCAATCACTGCTATCCAAGCACCAACTCAGTGCATCCAGCTCGTAAAAGCCAGGACATGGACCACCTGCTTCCCACTTGTGCACGACTCTGCCATTACACAGCCACAACACAGAGGGTCACTTGGCTGCAGGAGCAGGAGAAATGCCACAGTCAGACCTACAGCTGCTCTCATCGGCATAGCTGCGGCAAAGAAGAGAGAGCTGCGTGGATTGACACCAGCTGGGAAGGTAGGTTTTCAGTCTGCAGTCAGCCAACCAAATATAATTTAGACTTTATAAAGCCACCATGTTATATTACGAATGTGCTGACACCTGCAGCATTTGGAAAAAAACAGCGTATGGAGAAGTTTCCAGTCCTCTATAGCAAGGTTAAACACAATTCCCTTCCACTGAAGAGTAATTCCTGGATACTGGTAGAGGCACAGTGTTACATTTTTATGATGATGATTCAAATGAGTCATCTCCAATCAACATGCAATCATTGCTTTAATGACCAGACAGGGAAAATGCAGTTTAGCGGTGACTGACACTGCAGTTTCTTCTTCTGACTGCTCACTAAGCACTATGGGAAGGCTGTGTCACGAGCTACAAATTTGTATCCAGCCCAGAATGTATCTCCCGAAAGCTGGCTGTGGGTACCAGCTCCAGCAGGACCTGTGCGGCAGTTTCTGCTCCTTCCCAATGACAGTGTTGCAGGCACTCTGTGTTTCTGCTCTGTGCTTGGCAAGCAAGTGGCCACATCCCAACAACCACCACTGGCACCCAGCAGCAGGGCATGCTGCTTTCTGAATATCCCATTCCCTGTCCTAGGGATGTGGGAGGCTTTCTTGACCAAGGAAGGGGAAAGGGTCATTTTCCTCTCAACAGTCGTGAAGCAGCACAGGCACACCCAGGTCAGCCTGAGAGGCACTGCCTTGGAAAGTAGGTGATATGGCTAACAGCCCCATGGGGATGCAGTCTGACCCTTATCTCCCATTTCTGATACAACTGCTGTAACCTCGGAGCAACTACCAGCAAACTAAGAGCTGGTGACCAAAAACACGTGCTTCAAGAAGTGCAGTCCTACCCATCCTACAGACACCTACTGAGCTGCGCACACACCTCCAGAACTTGGGCTGAGGAGAGACAGGACTTGGCATCCTCAGAGCAGACCAGTCCAGCACTTACATTGATCACAGCTCACTGTGGTCACAGTGCCTGAAAGACCTTCTCTGCTCCACTTCTGAGAAGGAAGGGCAGGAGGAGAGCAGAGAGCTCTGTGCAGAAGCGGCTCCCCCCATCTTCTTTCTCGGGGTGTCTGCCTCGGATGAGGTGCTCGTTTGCTGTAAGGGCTTAAAACAGGTGGGGCTATATATGCCTTCCAAAGTAAAGGGCTATCTTAAGATTCACACACTCTGACAGAGGATTAAAAGATGCTATCTGAAGTTTTCATTTAAGTCAGGTGCAAGTGCCAAAGCTATATACTCATAAAAATAAATCATTATGAGCAAAGAGCAAACAGTGCAGTGGAAAAGCACTGCAAACCTCCACACTTTTGTAACAGTGACATACTAACTCTAATTAGTGGATGGAAAATACTGTAAATTTTCTCCTCCTTTGGAGTTCACGAAAGTTTAAATTTGCTAAGAAATCAAGATGACACACTTCCAAAGTGCTTATACACAGCAGATGGTTTTATCTGCAACTCAATGTGCAGGCTCTGCAGCTGCAGCTGGAGGCTGAAGGGCAGTGGAGTGCGTTGCCCAGCGTAGCCTGAGCTTAGGATCCAAGAGAAGCAGCAGTGGCCTGGATGAGTGAGGGGCTCCAGGAGAGTCATAGAATATCCTGAATTGAAGGGACCCACAAGGATCACCAAGTTCAACTCCAGGTTCCAAGCAGCACCACCCAAAACCAAACCCTATATCTGAAGGCATTGTCCAAACTCTCCTTGAACTCAGGGCCTCCCCTCTGCTCCTCTGCTCTGCACTGAACAGACACTCCTATCTCCGTGTCTGGCAAAGAAGGTGACCCAACCCAAGAGCACTGCACAGGGGAGCCCCACACTAGGGAAACAGCAGGACATAACATTGGCCTGTGCCCTGTCTGGAGCTGCATGCTGTGCCCTACTGTGCCCTCAACCCTGCACCTCACATCAC